GTAAGTATTGCTTTGATAAAAATATGAAAGCATTGTATGATAACAAGTGATACAAAATTTTTTAACTTTGAAACTTTTCGTGATTTACTAAATTAGTTTGAGAAAATAATATAAATTAATAAAAGTTTAAAAAAATCATAAAATATCTTTCTTAATTATTTAATTTTTTAGCAATTAAATACTGTTTAAATTTTAAACAGTTAAGAAAGTTGTTTCGTTTTTTCACTTATGTTTTCTATTTTAAATATCAAATAAAGTGATCTTTAAGATTACCATCTCTGGTTGTAATTTTTTCAAAAAGTTATAGTTTTGTTTGTTCTATGTAAAAAAGAAGTTATATTTAGTTAAAACAGATTTTGACTTTTACTACTAATAAAGAAAGAATTAATTATTTACATTTTCTTAGTGATCTACTAATGTACTACTGTCCATACTGCTTTTTCAAATGCATAAATGAGAGGAAACTGCGTGGTCACATCTATCACTTCCATCCTATGCAAAAATACAAATGCCATGTTTGTTATCAGCAATTTACGTGTTACAGCTCATTAATATCACATTCTTCAAGAAAGCATAAAATTAATTTGACTAATGCACCATTTAGGAACATATGTGATCCACTTTTGGAAGAAGCTGTTACTATCAATGCAAATGAAGATTAAATTATGGAATCAGAAAGTTTTGTTTTACAACTGTCTCTTGAAAAGCTCTTTTGTGATTTGAAGCCAAAATATACTTCAAGAAAATTTGTTTCAGAAAGCACTTTTAATAATATTTTATCAGACCATGCATGATAAATGATTTTAATCAGATCATGGGTTCATCTATTGCAACATGTTCAGTTAATTCGAAGTATGAATTCTTGTTTTCTTATATTAATCCTGAAAAAATTTTTCTAGCAAATTCAGAAAAACACTATATTTATGTTCCGATCAAAGAAAATCTTATAAAATATTTGTCTTCAGCTAATATGATTGAACAGTTAGAGTTATCTGTTGTTCAACGCATTTAGAAGCCATTTTGTTTTTAATGTTTTTTATTACTTATCAACAATCTTATCTTTTTACAACAAATTTGTTCACTATATATAGTATTTAAAAATTAAACTTGTAAGTCTTGTCAACAATTAGTGGTCGTTAAACAAAATGTTATAATAATAAAAAATCACAACTTGTGACTTTTGTCAATAATTAGCACGCTAATTATTAATGGCGCACAACATCCCCCTTAGCTCAACAAGAGCTCATACGTAATCGTTGTACTTCCGATTAGGAAGTACTCTCCTTCCATAGCGAGTGAATTGAACAGGCTGTGACTCTGTTTCACCATCTGTTGAATAGTTTTGATCGCTGCCCGTACTATTGTCATTTTTACCATTATCCGGAGGAATTATTTGAAGATTTGGATCATCATTGACAATGTGTTTTGAGCTCGTTTCGGGAAGTTTTAATAGTGTTGAATCATAATCATCTGTTGTATCTTCTTCTTTTGTGTCTACACGACGATGTTGCAGATGAGAAAAATGTCGTGGTAACGTATGTCCGTTGACATCGACTTCAGCTGTTAAATCATTATGCAATGCCACTATACTTCCTTTCAGCCATCGTTGCGTACACGGCGTTACGTGCTTGGGTTTCACCCACACTTTGTCGCCAATTTTCCATTCACGACACTCTGTCATCGACTTTTGTGTTGATTCGATTTTATCGATTCCAGGAATTCGAACTCGTTTGTGATGTTGGCAAAATATTTCAAAAGGTGTGCCGTGTTTTGATGGAACGTTATTGATTAAAAATACAGACATGGGAATACCACATTTTACTCTTGCATTTGTTCTTTTTACCGTCCGATGAACTCTTTCAACTATTCCATTTCCCGATGGTTTTTCAACAGCTCGATAGATGACCCTTATTTTCCATTTCGCAGCCATAGTTTGCATAAGCTGAGATCTAAATGACTAAGAGTTATCTAGAAGAACTTCAGAAGGAGGTCCAAATGTTGACCATATTGTTTCTAACGCTTTAACAACCATAGTTGCACTTTCGTCGCTTAATGGTGTCCATAACGTATATCTGCTTGGGCCGCAATCAATACAAGTGAGATATAGCGATGAATCAACATGAGTAACACCGCAGGCTACTCTTTCCCATACTTTGCTAACAGCAAGATTTCCTTTACCCCACAACATCACATTAGGGTCAATCGAGTTACATTTATCGCATTCAGCGACAACCTGTTTCACTGTGTCTCTGGTAACGTGGATACCAGCGCGCATACATAACTCCATACTCTTGGAAACTCCCATGTGTGCTAGTGAATGAATTTTTCGAATCTGCTGTTTATCGTACTTGTAAATGGTATTACATTCTTGTGTTGCAACTTTGTTTTTTTATCCATTTTGTTGGCACTCTTGTGAGTTCATCTGCAATATTTTTAGTTGTTGGTACCCATGTAACAGTTACATTTATGACATAATCCTCGACCAATTTTTCAAATATTTGATGTCTTCGTCGAACTAACATTTTGCATTGCCCTGCACATTTCACAGGTTTGTCACGAGTCAATTTAGAATTTAACCAACTAAATACACTATGAGAAACAGTTTTAATGGAGACTTGGATTCCATTTCAATGCCATATTTAGACCTTCAATACATGCATCTAATTCGGCCACATTGATATGCATTGCATCAGACTTTGGTCGGAGCCATGTCACATCTTCTATCTTTCTGTCACCTTGCGTTAACACAACTCCTTTTGCCAGCGAACTTACGTCGCACCATACAGTCAGAGATGCATTTGATTTCACATTCCATACACCTTTTGCCGGATCGCACTTTACGACTTTATCTACAATTTCCTGCATCATTTCGATAACATACTTATTCGTAATAGGTTCATCCCAATCTGCTTCATTAGTACATCTTTTTATATAGCTGCATGCCGGTCTCAACCATCCAGCAACTGGTAGATTAGCAATCAGATTACCACATAATGAGAATATATCCTTCTTTGTGAGCACAGATTTAATAATAGGAAGCTCCTCTCTTCCAAAACATCTCCTTTGTTAATGGATTTACTGTGACTTCTAATCCTAGTGCACGAACTGGGTTTTCGCCAAAATATTCAGGTGCTTTTGCATGAAGACCCCATTTCTTCATATGTATCACCAGCTTTCTTCCATTTCCATTGGTTGCAAGGGTGTCATCAATGTACCCTCTTGTTGTTTTTGCCAGTGCAGAATCTTGTTGGAGAACATACCGCAATATTGAGCTCATCATCACTGGTGCCAAACTTAAACCAAAGCCCAAACGTGTAACTGCATATCGCTGATTTTTATAGATGACCGTCTGGTAGGGCCAATGCCTTTTATGCACATGAATTTGTAAATATGCTCTTCTTAGATCCACTACCGAATCATTGCTGTTTTTACTCATGAGTCTCCACTCCCTCATTGCATCATTGATGACATCAGCATCTCTTGTAGAGGCTTTTACATACGTGTTAAGCTCACGATAATCAAGCACAGGTCTTATCTTCTTTTTATTATTTTGAATGACATACATTAACGGTATTAGACCTTTAGGTTTTCCCATAATTTTATCGTCATATTTGATGAGTATACCTTCTTTGATCCATTCATTTATTTATTTGTTAAACGCCTCCAATGTTGGTCAGCTACATTATACTGACTTGTTCTATTTTTCATTTTAGGTTCGTTTTCCCACTCCCAACTTACAATCCACCTTTTGCCATCAAAATAAGCTTTGCTTGTTCCAATTTCAATTGTCGCAACACGAAGTTTCGATGACAACTCAATCAAAGAATTACACAATTTCAGTTTCCCAGTGCCAATTTGTAGTCCATCACACGTCTTTATTAAGTCCATACCCATAATCATGTCGTATTTGTTTATTACTAAATTTACACTCAGAATCACCACATCCACCAAGCCATTTAAAAGCCATTTTGTTTTTAATGTTTTTCATTACTTATCAACAATCTTATCTTTTTATAACAAATTTGTTCACTATATATAGTATTTAAAAATTAAACTTGTGACTCTTGTCAACAATTAGTGGTCGTTAAACAAAACGTTATAATAATAAAAAATCACAATTTGTGACTTTTGTCAATAATTAGCACGCTAATTATTAATGACGCACAACATTATCTGCAAAAAAGATTACAAATTCAATAAGAAATTCTGCAAAAATCCATGATGATTTTGTACATGGAAAGTTACTTCAACAGAATATTTTTTTTGCAAATCATCCAGAAAGTATAGGAATTGTATTATATTCTGATGATTTTGGTTCTAATTCAAACCCTTTGCGGCAACACACACAAAAAAATACAAGACTTTTTGTCTTTATTTTTCTATTATAAATTTGCAAAAAAAGTATAGAAGTCAGTTAAAGCATCACAATCTTGTACTCTTATCTTCAGCAACCCAGCAAACATCAAGCAGGCGGACCGATAACGGACCGCTGTCAGTACTTATGTCGTACCGACGTCGGCCGCCCGTAGCGTTGCCGCGTTGGCTTGCACATCGTATTTACATCGGAAAACTGAAGGCGGTTCGACAGCGGACCTATGGTGGCAAATCGACAACGTTTGAGCAACGGTCCGTCAGCGGCTAAACGATGATAAAGCCATTGCGGAATAGCATAGGATCTATAATAAGTTTTGACTAAGATTTGAATGCATAATGATATACATATAATTATTTTAATTTTTTTGTTTGAATAGAACGCACTTATTGTTAGCAAAAATCTTTATATCTTTCAACTCAAATTTTTACTCATAAAAAAAAGCAAATCCTGCCAATGCCTGGAAGACACATCAAATATCTTTTGACTTTGTGCATAGGTATATAGACAAAATACGAATTTAACATACTAAAATTCTCCTACCACCAAAAAACACTACCCCAACTGTAAATCAATAGGTTATACGTGGCAAGGCTTAAGCTTGGTGAACAAAAAGACTAATCAGAAGTTATAATAAAAACTAAATATATTCAGAAAACCATGTGTTGAAAATTGATTTACGTTGCAGTCTGCAGACTTCTAACTTTCACCTAAAAACAGGCAATGATATATAATAACAATATTGAAACAGTCAAGTTTAGAGCTATTACAACAAAGATAATAAACTAACCTTCTCAGCCCTTAAAAACGTGTTCGTTTGAAAGTCTGATCACCAGTTATTGACAAATAACTTCAGATACTAAGTGCATCTACATTGAATAAATATAAATTTAATTTTATTATTTAAGCATAATTTAAAACATAAAAACAAAACAAATATTTTTTAAATTGAAAAGCTATGGAAATAACTTTAAAAAAAAAGCTATATAAAAATAAAGTCATATTGCCTGCCTTTTTTAAAAAATAAAACTTCATATACAGTAACCTACCTGGTATACCTAATCCTATAAATGTGGGGTATAAATATGCTTGAGGGGTTTATGAATAATAAAAAAAAATTGTTATTTCATTAAAAAAATTTTCTTTAATTTTAATTTTAATTTAACAAATAAAATAGTATTTAAAAATGAAATACTTATATGCCAGGTTGGAAATAAAAACCGTAAATTCCACAGCAACTTAAGGGCGATGGTGAACCTTTTGCAAAGCATAAGCCTAAGACACAAGTGCACATCTGAAAAAGAAAGAATCAGAGACAGAACACATCAATAAAAATATATATTTTGATAAACTAAAATATAGTTTGTAAATTGAACATAGTTTTCACCATACAAAAAAAAAACAGTGCAATATAATATACTATAAAAATTCCTTGAAAAATATAAAAAATCAAATAATTGATTGAAATAAAACGGTTTAGTAAATAAGTATATAATTTTTTTCTAATAAATTATTTGTAAGTATATAAAGAGCAAATAAATATGTTTAAAGAAAATATGATTTAAATCCAGTTTGCAAATCAAACATTTTTTTTTTTTTTTTTTTTTTTTTTACATTATTCACCTCCCCAAGGCCCGAGGGGGCCACTACAGTCGAGGAGGCTACTCATTTTTTTGTGTTTTTTATTTTTTATTTTTTTTTTTGTTGTATTTCGTGGTACAACCCTCTCTCAACTCTTTAACTCCGAAACACGAACCTTGACAAGCAAGGCCGCTGCGCGGAGAAACTAAGTTGAGCGCGGTACTTCCAGGGACGTGGTGGGAGTCGAACTCCGAACCTCTCGCTTACAAAGCGAGCGCTCTTACCACTACACCACTGCCGCACCACATCTATCTTATACCCATGGCAATATTTGGATCATGGTCAACATAATTCTGTGAAATATAACTCTGGTTGAGGTAAACGGTTTCCTGTAAAGAAATAATATTAAATCATAAATGTAACATTAAATTACAAGCCTGTTTAAACAGAATTGTTAAAGCAATCCTTTAAAATAATGGCTTGCAAAATAAAAATTTTGTTAGATTTTTATTAATCTGTTTCACTGGTTAAATACCAAGTTAATTTAGCTTTCCATCAATAACTTTATATTTTAAAGCTTATAGTTATATTTAAATTTAATATAATCAAACAAATCAAACAGTAGACAGACTCCAGAACTTATATTTTGGATTTTTTTCAAAAATAACATTAAAATAATATCAAAATAATAAAATTAAATAAATATCAAAATAATAAAATTAATTTTACTTTATTCTCTGGTGAGATTCAATATCACGATTTAAATTCTCATCTACAATCTCATATACAAAAGGTTACTGTAAAAGGGAATGAACATGAAAAACACAGAAACAGTAATACTCATTACACAAAAACTTTACTCTATTGAGTTTAAAAATATATAAAATATTGTAAAATAAAGATAACAAATATGTAAATAAAGATGCTTATTTTATTTAGCAATGTTATTCATCTTCTGAACTAAATTATTTAATGGCATTGGAAAACTTGATGTAGGCATCATTTTCTTGGCTTGTTTGATTTTTTGGTCTTGTCTAACTTTTTTTCTGCCATTGAGGTCTGATGCACCACGCAAAAAACGCACAACCTCATATTGAAAATCTGATTCAGTTGCTGAAGTTGTTGCAGGATTTCTTTTTACAGCTCCTAAAAATTAATTTAAGACTTTTAATCAACTATCTAGCAGGAAAACAAAAAATATATTTTTTAACTTAATTTCAGACATATATAGAATTTTTTTTAAAGCAATTTATTAACAAATTTTATTTATGTATTTATTAATTTTTTATTTTTATATAGTTAATAAATAAATTTTATTTATCAACTATTTATCAACAAATAGATTAGTAATTACTAAATTAGACACAAGTAATTATTAAATTAGAGTAACAAGCCCCTACAAAAAAAATTACTTTTAAGCAAGTGTAAGTCTTTGTTTTACAAAGTTACTTTCATTGTCATTTATGGTAACACCAGACCAGTTAAGTTTACAGCAGAGGTTGTTAGTGAATAACGCAAAGGACATTCTCTGGACAGCCTCCTTTAAAGTCTGGCCTCCTTTACTTGCCTCAGCTATTATCTACAAAAAAAATAGAAAAAGCATCAGTAATATATATACTGAAGAATATTTTTTAAAAAATTAAAAAAAAGATAGATATCAAATTAATGCCATTAATTATTGCATAACATTTATTAATAGGCTTTATGTCCTTTATTTCTCTTTATAAATGATCTAGCTGGTGTACTACAAATAAAAGCTGATATAGCGAACTTATATACTTTACCATTAATACTAATACCAGAATCAAATAAAGCAATACTTTCATTACCAAACATTTTTAGAAATTCATTACGGTCTTTTGGTTTAGACTTGCTATAAAAAAGACTAATTATAAATGGGGTTTTATTGTGTTGAATATTGTTTATCCACATTTTTTATTAAACCTAATACTGGCCAAAATTGTCCAATGCTGCTTTTAAACAATGCTTTTCAAATCACCAATGTTGACTTGAATTGGTATACAATCCTTTTTCTTTAAAAAACTTAAACTATTACTTAAAATACCTTGTCTAATGCCAATATTTAATATCAATAGATTACTGTCAGAGTTCACTTCACAATAAATGTTATTTGCACCTTTGGGAACAGCACTCTCAGTTAAAAGTTTTCAATCTGATATACTTTTTAAATACAATGATTGTACTTCTTCTGGTGAATGTGAAATATTGCTTGATTTTATGGTAAGATCTTTTAGGCAATATTCAACATCAACTATTATCTTTCGTCATTTTGTCCAAAAGCTCACTATTGAAACTTACATAAATTGTTTTATTTACTAAAGCTGGTACATATTTAAAAATGTATATATTATATATATGTATATGTTTATATATAAATATAAATATAAATATATATATATATATATATATATATATATATATATATATATATATATATATATATATATATATATATATATATATATATATAACTTCATATTAATTTAACATTGTTCTTGTTATATTAAAAGTTATATGACTAGTCATGTAACTTTTAATATAACAAGAACAATGTTATACTAATATGGTTATAATATTCTTACATAACTGTAACAATATTGTTAAAGTTATATATGTTTAAAATAAAATAAAATTAGAATTTTTAATTTTGAGTCTTATAAATATATATTGAACCTATATGTATATCTTAGATATACAGTATAGATATTATCTATACTTTATATCTATACTAAGTATAGATATAAATATAATATATAGTAATCTATACTAAGTATAGATATAGATATAATATATAAGTATAGATGTAGATATAAATATAAACTATAAATATAGATATAAATATAATATATTATAATATAATATATAGTAAAGTATACTTTATATTATATTATAATATATTATATTTATATCTATATTTATAATTTATAAATATAGATAAAGGTATAAAATCGTGTAACTTTTAATATTTATAAGCAATAATTATAGCTAGGTATATTTTATAATATAAAGACTTTATATTATAAAATATAATTTAATAAATAAAATAAATCGGACTTTATATTATAAAATATACAATATAGGATATATATTAAATCTACAACTATTCTTTATTAAAGTATAGATGTAGATTTAATATATATAACCTATATTGTAAGACTTAAAAATAAAAAGACTAATTTGATTTTTTTTAATACTATTTATTTATTACTTACTGTTTTACATAGATTATGTACTACAGAAATAGAAAAAAGTGTAATTCGAAAAGATCTTGTGCTGATTCTTATAATTATTATTATCCTTGTTGAGTTTAGTTATGTTTATACTAAAACTAACCTGTTTGTATATTTTAGTTTACATATTATTATATTAAGAATAAAGCCTTCTATGTTGGCTTAGAATTAATTATAGACTATTTAATTTACTACACTACAGATCTATAAATTTATTTCTCGCAAAATATGTTCTTGGCCTTAAAGCATACTCAAATACAAAGTTTATATACAGTTGTACAAGACTACTTGTGAAGTACTTTTGCATATGAAGATTATATGCAGTTTTACCAGACTACTGATGAAGAACTTTATTTATAAATTGATTTATACGTTAATTATAAAGAGTTGAACATTAGAGTTTTTAAATAAAGAAAATTTGTACTGATTGCAAAACTAGCTTACATGTTCCATGTCAATATATGAGTTTTGAGGAGATTTTGTTTTCATGTTTTGTTTCAACTATTGTTTGGAGGAGACTGATTTAATTTTTATTGTATAGCTCTAAAAAAACATCATCTTAAACCATTAAACACTTTTTAAAAATTAAAAAAAAATTTTGGCAGGCAATATTAACTGTATGTATAAAATATTATTTGAAAGTTTAAAAACAGAATTGAAATTTATATGTTTGTCTGCTGAACAGTAATTTTTTTGTGAAGTTACATATAAACAATAAAATTAATAGCAAGAAAAAGTATTAAAGGCAAATTTTTTTTTTTTAAATATCTTCGCTTCCAACAAGGCTGCAAGCAACCACTAATTAGTGTTGGAAGTAACTGGAAGAGAAAAAATGAAGATTGTAGAGCAAGATAACGATTGACAGACGACTTAAAAGATTGCAAATTATATGAATCAGCAAAGCATGATGAAGGAAGCGAATTCCAAAGAACTGATGTTTGAGGAAAAAAACTAGACGAATAAGAGTTTTTGGAGCACTTAGGAACAGTAACAGTGAAATATGTTAACCAAATAAAAAAAAACAGTAACAGTAATATATGTTAACCAAATAAAAAAAAAGAACAAAATCAATGGTCATGCTATGATTATTTTTGTTATAATAAAATATGTTTTGTATGTATAAACTCTTGAAATATTTAACTTGAATTTGCATGTGTGCAATTTTGCAAAGTTTCAAAGTGTTTTCTGTCAAATGTAATGTCTATGTTCTATAAAGCATGGTCAATACAAAGTTTATATACAGTTGCACCAGACTATTGGAAACGTACTTAAAGTATGCAAAGTATAAATTTTCAGCTGAGGCAGAGGTTGTTCTATGCTCGTTACATCTTTACACTGTCTTGTTAATTATAAATAGTTAAACATTTAAGTAAAAAAAAAAAAATTACAGATATTTTACCAAACTAGCTTACATGTTCCATGTAAATTTACGAACTCTGAAGAAGTTACTGTTTAACCTAAATATTGAGAAGGCTGATAAGACGTACATCAATATTTTTCTTTACTTAACTTTAATAAAACATCATCCTTAAACCTTCAAACACTTTGTGAAAAATTAAAAAAAGTTTGGCAGGGTGTTTTAACTTATATATATAAATAGGATGAAAATTTTATATTAATAATCTATTGGAAAATTTAACAAAAAAAAAGTGATATTTATTTGTTTTTCTACTGAACAGTTCTTTTGTTCAGTTACATTTAAGCGTTGATAATACAAGCTAACAAAGAGAATTGAAGTTAAACAATTTAACCAAATTAGGGTGAATTATTGCAATTATTGTTATAAAAAGAACTTGATCAAAACAAGCTTTTACATTTGAAGAAGCAAGTTTTCAGAGAGAAAAAATAATATTACTTCAAGATAAAACATAACACATCTCTATTTTTAAATTATTATACAAGAGGTATTCACAGAAATTCAAAAAAAGGACACTTGATTTTATTGGTTATTCTAAAGATTACATAATAAAACTTAATAAAATTTGGAAACATGAAAGATAAATATTTCTGCCTAGAAAAATGAAAAGAAAGTGTTTTTTTTTTTTTTTTTTTCAGAGAAGATTTTTTTTTTTCTTCAGGAGTATGTAATGTAAAATAAATTAATAGCATGTTGCTTTATTTAATTTTATTTACCATCAGTTGCTATTTAAGACTAAACGTTTTTTACCAAATATAGAATTCAATAACCAATATTTTGTTCAGGTTAAAAGCTATATATCAACAAACATGTGCTTTATATGTATTGTCTTTTAAAATTGAAATAAACAACAACATGAACTTGTATTTTTGCAATTTTTCTTGTTTTTTTCTTGTTCTTGGTGTGGTAAGTTAAGAGTTGTTCATTTTTGTAATCAGTTTACTATATCAAAACACACTTGTGAACATCAGGTTATAAATTTTTTCTTATAGCTTATTATGCTACAATGCTTTGTAATCTTTTATTACTATACATTCCAATGCCAATCTAAATCAGCTCTTGTTTACAATTGCTATTAATTTGAGAGTGATGTAAATTATCTGGGCTAGCTACAACAACCAATAAGCAATATTCTCAAACTTAAAATGTTTTAGTGGTGTATACAATTTATAAATGGGAATAATAAGTGTAAAAATTCTGAAAAAAATAAAGTATTTTAAAAAAAATATTTTTCTTGCTAAATGATAGGATTAATGGGAACTTAATTTGAAAAAACTTATACCAAGTTAATAATATTTTATTGATATTACTTGGTAAAATTTTTAAACTGTTAGTTTTAAAATTTTACCAAGTAATATAAATAAAAGCATAGTAAAGTTTTACCATCTGGTTTATTTATAGTTTTAAAATTTTACCAAGTAATATCAATAAAAGCATAGTAAAGTTTTACCATCTATATTGTACAAAAATGGATAAAAAAATCTTTTTTTTTGTCATTATTATTTGGCAATTACTTTATTTCACTTTTATTATTCAATACGTTTTTTGACATTTGTTTTGATTTAAACTTAGGCGCAAAAGCCTCTCTTTCAAAATTGGCGAATCAGATTGCGCATATCTCTGCCTATTCTGAGCCTGTATAGGGTTTCAAAATATGCATCCGGGAGCCATCTCGGGCATTGTGAAAGCGTATCGTCATAAACTTACCGAAGCTGGCATGCCTATTTAAAATCGAATTGGCAACGAGGTGTTTTATCGCTCTTCGGCCGATGGCGGAAAGTCAATACAAATTAGCATGCCGGTCCTACATCAGCTACCCGGCAGCGGTAAGCCGCATTAGGAATTACAAAGGGCCAGCACCGGCATTCCGGCGGCGGCTTTGCGCAGCGCGGTCTGCTGAAAGCATGTTTGCTGGGTATATATATATATATATATATATATATATATATATATATATATATATATATATATATATATATATATACATATATATATATATATATATATATATATATATATATATATATATATATATATATATATATATATATATATATATATATATAT